CAAAAACCTCCCAGTTGTGAGGATTAATCGGATAAATTCCCAAATGGTGCGTAACTGTGAATGATTATTGAAACAGTTACACCGCCAGCTCATCTGAATGACTGTAATAAACCAGAGTAATCCAACTGTATCACACCATGTTTAGGTATTAATATGGATAGCCTAATGATTGATATGTGATAATTACTGGAACAATGATCTGATTACACCAAGGTCAGAAACTTTCCACTGTGCATGATTTTATTCCCTATGATAATAAAAAAAGGGTAACACTTTAGATTAAGGTACACATATTCACCATCAACTAGTTGTTCATTAACATGCATATTAGAGCCAAACTACTAGCTTATTAGTGAACATATTCTGAGTTAGAATACCACATTTTGAGTTATTTTGACACAATTAACACTTGTAGTTTCATGTCTTGTTACATAAGAATAGACGACATTTGTTAGGTGTTATTATGAGAGAATTACTATTCTTGTGGTACTGCTACTGCATATTGAGCATATTAAGACCCTCTCATGTACAACAATTTCCTTACGTACAATAAATAAGCACTCATTAGAGGGTTATTAACTCTTAACTAATGGCCTAGTACTTGTAGAATATGTTCATGTAGAATAAGGCATTAATAAGTGTTTTATAATGACTAATAAAGAGCCAATATACTGCTAATATGCATGTTAACTAACAACTAGTTGATGGTGAATGTATGTACCTTAATATAAAGTGTTACCGTAAATACATTCAACAGAGATCACATTGTTCCTCTTATTTTTCACAATTATCACAATTAATTAAGTTTTAGGTAATGTGGAAGAATTCTACGGAGGCCCTGAAGGGACAAAATAACTCATTTGATCCAAATCTTGTTTTTAATTGTTCTATGTAAGCTTTTTTTCTGAATCAAGTGTTGTTGTAGGACTTGTTTCTTAAGTGCAACACTACCCAAAGATCAAAATATGACTTAAATACATATTTTCTCTTAGATAAGTTTCAATGTCTCCATTAACCCAATGTATTGTGTGTCAAAAAGTGACGTTATATTACTGTCATGTCTTTCTTTTGCCAATTATCACAATAAATTAAGTTTAAGGTTATGTGGAAGAATTCTACGGAGGCCCAGAAGGGACAAAATAACTATTTTTTTTGTTGGTGAAAACAGCTGGAGACAAACAAGAGCTGGGAAATGTCTGAAGCAAGAGTTGTTGTGGGACTTATTTCTTAAGCGCAACACTATACCCAAAGTTCAAAATAGGACTTAAATATACATTTTCTCTTAGATAAGTTTCAATGTCTCCATTAACACAATGTATTAGGTGTTAAGTTACATTACTGTCATGTCTTTCTTTTGGCTAAAAATGTGTTTTAATCATATTAATAAAGGTACACCGTGTTAAGAGTGTGAAATAAAACTCACCTGTAAGTTAAGAAAATATGCTTTCAGTCAAATCAGCAGCAAAATCTTTAATCCCAAAGAGAAAAATCAAAGTAGAAGAACTAAAAAATATGAATCACAGCTCTTTCCCCTGTTTCCACTAATGAAACCAGGCAGTCTGAGTGTTTTTTCCTTATCACACACTTGTTTTGAACCCTGTGGTCAGACAATTATTTCTGAGCAGTGAAATGATCTATAGACTAATCCCCTCACCTTTAAAGGGATTGTCCAAATACAAACAAAGCCCAAAACTGTTTTTATCATGTAAAAACCACTGTTCATAGGCCGTAAATAGGCTCATAATGACCTATGCTCAGAGGTTTGCTGGCCATCGTCATATTTGTGTTATTTGTAGGATTTTTTATCCATCAAATATCACCCTGCGTGCATTATCTACGTGTTATCAGCCGGGGGGAGAAGGTACTCTTGCTACAGATTACAGACAAAAAGAAAAGCAGGGAGCACGAACAACTTCACCTCACATAGTGTCCTGGACCGCTGCGTGAACAGGAAGTGGTGATACTGAAGAAGATAGAGAGGTTTGAAGGAATCTTGAGTGAAGTTGCACACACTTTAAAGTCTCTGCTAGGAGCATCATGACCCCCACATTACATAAAACTGAATACTTTTTGCAGTGTATTGCAAGTAGTTCAACTTCACTCATATTTGCATAGTGATTCAAGCTCATTTTGTGTAGATAACTCGTGAAAATTACCAATATTTATGACCAAAAAGGGAAAGGAATGACTGTTTATATGTATATTTACTATTGCTTTGTCTATTTAAACCTCTTTAATTCAAGGAAAAAAAGGTTTTTATCTCATCAAAAAAAGGGTCAAATTACCAGTGTTAGAAAGACATATGAAACTGGACAAGTAAAGCCACTTTTTTTCAGTCAACGAGTATTTTATGACATTATATTTTGGTATCAAAGGTCAATTGACAATTCAAAGTAGTTTTAAATACTTTTCTAAGTAGATTTAGAAACCAAACGTTATTTCTCCGTACGGTAGCTTAACTTCTGGCAGTGTGAAAGTCATTGGTAGCTTTAGAGGTAGGTATACATATACTGGGGACTTTTTCCTGTATATAATTTCTATTTATGCACACCAGTAGCCTGAAACTGAATCATATTAACTA